TGTTTCTACATATCTACTACTTGGAAGCGGTACTACTGAGTCTGACCTAGGTGACCAAATAGTGCTATTGTGGTACTGGAGAGAAATAGGAGGCAATCGGGCTCTAGTGATAATGTTCACGCTTTTATCAACCTTGTAATCTCTCTTTAAATTCAATGGGTGCCGTGGAGGTTTGCTTTGTTCTTAGCGCGTCTTGGTGGTTTAAATCTTAAACTAACATTTTCAAGTCATTTGAGATTAGTTTTGGGGCTAATCTAACTTTTTGGGAGCTTTGTAATCTCGACCACTAATCGTCGCTTACAACCCTAGGGTGTTTGGTCTACTAGAAATGTATTGTCCTTGGTCAACATTAAAATTTCATAGATCTAACCTCCTATTCTTAACTTAGAACATTCATAAATGCTTGTTAAGAAGACAATCTTATCAATCACCTAAAACACGTAATATATTATCTAAACATTTATGAAAGCTCAACATGAAGATAACTACATCAATCACCCAGAACATAGATCACGATATGCCTTCCTCCTTTCTAGCACAATAGCAAGCATTATAATCCGCATACATCTTAAATTCATTTTGATAATTTTCTAAATCATATATTGCATTGTCATCTAAATTCCCTGTCTGTAGTCCTAAAAATGCATATTCTAGTCACCTAAGCAAAAATATGCTCTCATGTGCCATATCCTGTCGAGCATTACTTGATGCGACATGTAGCATTCGCTGACTGACCACTCCAACCCCTGCAGTGTGCGTTCCAACCCTGGAGTGCGTGAAATTTTCCTCAATTTCCTTGGTTACTAAGTGTCTACCACCCCAATCTAACTTGTTTCCTTCCCCAATGCTGTGTGTGTCCCTTCTCCTTTCGGATGTGTTCAAGCCCTCCTTTGTCGACACATGTTCACCTGTGTTTTGTCTTCCACGAGCTAGATTCAACGGGTTTTTTTGCAAAATACCTAGTTCTTTCGGTTGGATGAAAGTCTCACGTCGGCTAATTTAGGGATGATCATGAGTTTATAATCAAATAATACTATTTCTATTGGTGAGAGGCCTTTTAAGAAATCTCAAAGCAAAACCATCAAAGTTTATCTCAAAGTGGACAATATCATACCATTGTGGAGAGTTATGTTCATCTAACATGGTATTAGAGTCGTGCCTTAAATTTAGCCATATCAAAAAAAGTATTGTCAGCCTCGATTAAGTGGAGGCGGTACTTGGTTTGAGGGGAGGTGTTGGATTGTGGAGAGTATGAGATAATTAATAAGTGGTTTTAATACTTTTTTTAAACATGTTATTAGATTAAAAAATGGACATTATAATGGTTATAATTTTATTTTGATGTTTATGCGTTGTTCATGAGAGGGTTAAATTATCCCATTCCATTTTAATTTGAAGTCTTTGCAAAGGATTCTTTTAGTCGACAATTTTCTTGAAGCAATGGAGGAAATAAAAAGTGTTTGAATAATTAGCCTACACACTAACTTTTATGTTTCTCATAGCTTTGAATCCTAAGATTCTTTGCTCCCCAGGGAGTTGTCCTTTTCTCAATATTTAACTTTTTTCAAATGGAGAAGAAATAGAAACGGCATAAGTCCTGCTGTTAGCATATATTGTTGTATTTGGGTTTTTCTTTTCGGGCTTCCCCTCAAGGTTTTTAAAACGCGTTTGTTAGGGAAAGGTTTCCACACCCTTATAAAGCGTGTTTCGTTCTTCCCTCCAACCAAAGTGGGATTCTCACAATCTATCCCCCTTCGGAGCTCAGTGTCTTCGTTGGCACTCATTCCTTTCCCCCATCGATGTGGAATCCCCACCAAATCCATCCCCCTTCGGAGCCAGCGTCCTTACTGGCACACTGCCCCCGTGTTTCCCCCGGGAAACAGCCTCCTCGCTGGCACATAGTCCAGTGTCTGGCTCTGATACCATTTGTTAACGACCTAGGCCCACCGCTAGCAGATATTCTCCTATTTGGGCTTTCCCTTTCAGACTTCCTCTCAACGTTTTTAAAACGAATCTTTTAGGTAAAGGTTTTCACACCCTTATAAATGATCTCAAAGATTGTTGGGATGAAATGTCGAGATCAGGTTTGGTTGGACCGAGCGATGACGACAAAACTTATTAGTGACTTGTATGACTTGATATTGATAGAAAAGCCAAAGATTACATCGACAAGATCTATTGAAAACGTGTTTTTGGATCTGAACGACATACTGTTACTATACCTCTCCATAGAACCCGAGCCCAATATGTATATGATTTGTCTATATGTTTTTCTTTTTTCATATCGATTTCAATGAAATAACTTAATTTAAAAGTCCAGGATACTTTGAAGACATTATTAAATCAGTTTATTTAAAATTCTAGAATATAACAATAAATATCATTTTAATAATTCAATTATAAAACAAATACAAACTTGTAATTTGGAATTCCGTAGAGAAAATTACTTAAAGAATAATTATAAAATAAATGAATAAATAAGTAAAAAGATAATTACCTAACTTAAAACATTTTAAATATTTATAAATAACTGATATTGTTTTCAAAAACATAATAATAATTAACAACACTACAATTCAAAACAAATTGAAATTTAATATACAATTTCAAACAAAATATGAAGGTCAGAAAAACGGAGCCCCTTTGTTTCCAATTTCCAAAAAGTACCCCCCACAAGACCCCTTCAGACGTATAAATAGACTATACTGTATACTTCTTATCGGGTACAAATCGACTAGACTGTATACTCCTTTTAAAAGTACCCTCCTCAAAACTAGCCCCTTCAGACGTATAAAAGAAGTGCTATACAGTATACTCCTTAAAAAAGGACCCCTCTCAAAAGACTCTCCTTTAGACGTATAAAAGTACTATACAGTATACTCCTTAAAAAAGACTTAATGCATTTCTTAACCTTCACTCTCAATGATATCACACCCTTCTCACTATCAATAACATCTAACTCACACCAAAGAATCCCATACTCCTTACACCTTCCGACTCTGATGGTTTTGATGTGTGATCATCGGAGACTGGATCCTCCTTTTAGAGTGAGGCACCCTCCACTGTGCGCCAAAGCCGAAGGCGTAGTGGCATTCCCTTCGGTGACTGCATTATCCTCATGCAGGGCGGGGTAGCGAAACTGAGGTATGACGTTTAGACATATAATAAGCTCTTCCCTTACTCCTTACGCCTGACACTGGTTGTGATGTCTTCCCTCTGATGTGAAGGTTTTTGCTTACTTACTTTACATCATAGGCACGATCAGTGGATTAGGGCACCATCCACTGTGCGCCAATGCCGAAGGCTTAGTGGCATTTCCTTCCTTCGGTGACTGCATTATGCAGGTGCAGTGCGAGTAGGGAAACAGCTGTATTAAGTCTTGCTGTATCTAGTTTTTGGTATAGAGAGTTTTTCGCGTATGGGGAATTTAGCGGTATGGGGAATTTTTCTCATCAAAGACTATTACCACTAAAACATCCTTCGGTCTATCGAGTTTTTGCCCACAAAGACAATTACCCACAAAACATCTTACCCTGAATCGGAGAAAGAAAGAGGCTTTCCCCATATTATTTTTATATTGATTAATATTAGTTCTTGCAAGAAAGCCTTTGTTTCCAATTTCCAATCAACAACGGAGAGATCTAGGACATACACGAACACATACTTCACAAGCAATGCATTTATCAAATTCAAAATGGATTCGACCGCAGAAACGCTCCGATGCGATTAATTTTTCGTAAGGATATTGAATAGTGACAGGCAAACGATTTGCATGGGATAAAGTAATCATGAAACCCTGACCAATGATAGAAATGGGTGAGTATAAAAGTATTTAGTAAGCTCTCATTGCATCCTTATCCTATTAGATTATCATGAACCTTCTCTGGACTCTAAGAATTTCATGTCTAATCTCTATTGCTATCTAAGTAAAATCTATAAGAATTTTTAGTAAACATGCTTATTGATAAAATTTATCAATGTTTTAAGAAATACTTATGTTTTTTCTTGAATAATTATTATAAGTCTCAATTTATTAGTGTAAGGTTTATTTTTTTAAGTAAAGATATTCTTTTATAGACTGTATGGGCTAATGAAACATGGGTATGATATTGGAATTGGAATTCAAAAGAAAATTGGGCATTTATTACTTGAACCATGAATGTAATCTGATGGGACAGTATGACAGTATTGATAATAATTTTCATTAGAGTATTTGTAGAGATGAATGATACCATAGGCCCAAAATTGTTAAACATAAAATAGGAGGGCTTTGGAAAATACGGTACCTTCACTATTTGTAAAATAACAATGCTAAGATGTGTCATAAAAGAAGAGAGTTCTTATAATTTTATGAGGTTAGACATTTTGTATTAATGCATCGATAAATTTATTGGGTATGGTTTCATATCATGTGAAATGAACACAACTCTTGATATTGTCCACACAATAGGAGGACAATAGTATGATATTGTCCATTTTGAGCATAAGCTCTCATGGCTTTGCTTTGGGCTTTCTCAAAAGGCTGAGCATAAGCTCTCATGGTCCCAAAAGGCTAAGCATAAGCTCTCATGGCTTTGCTTTGGGCTTTCCCAAAAGGCTGAGCATAAGCTCTCATGGCTTTGCTTTGGGCTTTCCCAAAAGGCTGAGCATAAGCTCTCATGGCTTTGCTTTGGGCTTTCCCAAAAGGCTGAGCATAAGCTCTCATGGTCCCAAAAGGCTAAGCATAAGCTCTCATGGCTTTGCTTTAGGCTTTCCCAAAAGGCTGAGCATAAGCTCTCATGGCTTTGCTTTGGGCTTTCCCAAAAGGCTGAGCATAAGCTCTCATGGCTTTGCTTTGGGCTTTCCCAAAAGGCCGAGCATAAGCTCTCATGGCTTTGCTTTGGGCTTTCCCAAAAGGCCGAGCATAAGCTCTCATGGCTTTGCTTTGGGCTTTCCCAAAAGGCCGCATACCAATGGAGAGAATATTTTTTGATTATAAACCCATAATCATTCTCTATTAGCCGATGTGGAACATTCATCCGTATTTCATTAAATATAAAAAATATCATTCTTTAGTTAAAATAGAAAATTAAATATGAGAAAAAGGGTAGAAAAATCATTTCATTTAAGAAAAAAAATAGAAATAATGAATTTGTCTACACCATAGTGATTTAGTTTGGCTTAGGTTTTGCTTTGTTAATAGACAAAGAAAACTCCATGTGCAACAATGCTACTCTCATGCTTGTGTGGTACTTCCAATTGGTGTAATGGTTGGGGTTCGAGCAGTGCTTCCAACTGATGCAACCTCTGGGGTTAGAGCAGTGCTTCCAACTGATGCAACCTCCGGGGTTAGAGCAGTGCTTCCAACTGATGCAACCTCCGGGGTTAGAGCCTCCGGAGTTTGAGCGATGCTTCCGAACGGTGAAGCCACTAGGACTTCTGTGCTACTTGCAATTGGTGCAATCGCTGGGGTTTGTGTGTCATGTGATCCAAAGGCACGAAATGAAAATTGATGATCGAGCTTTACGACGCCAGTGACATCGCCATAAGTGGCACCCACTTTCACACAATATTGCCAAGCAACCACCAAGAAAAGGGTGTGAAAGAGCTTGAAACCTTTGCCCATTGCCATTGTGGATTGTCTTTTAAGTTGTAGGGTTACAAGCTCGTTTCACAAATGATGAAGAGTAGCAATGACTATGGTGTGAGTGCTTGGATTTTAGTGATGATGTGAAGCTCTATATATAGTTGGATGAGAAAACTATACTTAGAAAAAACTACAAAATTTAGAAAGGCTTCCAAATTTTCCGGTCATGAAGTATTCCAAATATAGAAGGTTTGACTATTTAATTTTTTATTTCTAATTTCTAATTTCTCCCTCCCTTAATTTGAGTGACTTTAACGATAATTATATTTTTAAACAAAAACATACCATTGATAGTCTCTCCTACGTTTGATGTGTAATAATTTGATATTTTATTTTATTTTAAGAACTCAACATTATCCTATAATGTGGTAGAGATTTTTTTCTTGATGGATTGTATTTGTTTGGATTATTTGTCTCATTCATACATGAGAAATAAGGTTGTCAACTATTTGTAGTTAATAAGATCATGTTTGAAGGTTATTATAATTTTTTTTTGTAGTTTTGAGACCACATTTGAGGTTTTCAAAGACGATGAGAAACAATCTTTTAGTTTTTAGATTATGATAAAGAGTAAGATTTTCACTACTATGTAGTTTTGAGGTAATGTTTGAGACTATGAGAAAGAATAAGATTATTATCAATTCTAATTCTAAGATCATGAGAAACAATAAGGTTGGCGACACTCTTCATAGTTTTAAAATCATGAGAAACAACAATGTTGTCGAGTAGGTGAAACATGAGCATGATATGGGTTTAGACTATGTGCTATACGACACTCTATTTTATGACCAATGATCAATATTGTACGGTAGGATGTTGTGACCATGTAGGGATGATTAGGAGACTTGCTAAAAGTATTTACACGGTCTGACAAGAATATGGGGTGATTTCTTCACGTTTGACTTGAGGACTACATGGACGTCACCATCATCATTTGCACGGAAGCCTATTTCCTCTTGACACCCCCGATGATTGGGAGTTCGTATAGATAGGGCAAAGCTCCAAAATTAGCTTATGTGCCAAAAGAATATTATGAATGAAAATGAGCAGAGGATCTATAACATGGATACATAGTAGTTGGCAAACATGAGGGTTGACCTATTAAGGAGTTGTCAACTAATTTCTTGTAGTGCACCTCATAAATTATGATACATTGGTTTTATTACACAGGAAATAGTTAAGAGCCGACTAATTCATTTTAGGATCCAGCACCGAAACTTAATGAATAGATGCATTTCAATAAATTGAGTGATATACTATATCGCTTAAACTATGAGGGACTATAAAAAACTAAACAGGTGAAAGAGTGAAGCCCAGATAGGATTGGAACATAAGAAAATTATATTTATTACATCTAAAGTAAAGTTTAAGTTTTTACCATACAAAATTGGACACAAAATAGGAAAGGCTCTAACATGTAGGTTTAGCTCTCCATGGCACCTGCGCTGCATTCACTCTCAATCGACCCATTACTAATCCTTACCTTAAAAATATGTAAAAAAAACAAATATAAAAGTCAATAAGCAGCCTACTTATCAGTTCTTAATCGTGTCTATAATTGATGCTAAAGTACTATTTCTATGATTTGACCAAGACCTTAAAATAATTTCTTATCCTGAGGACCTTGGTTCTAAACCATGGATCATGAGTCATGATACTCAGTCAATCCTTATACTAATCCCAAAAAATTACTCCCCTAGCAGAACTAAAAAGGGCAAATAGTTGGTGAATATCATGAATCTATACTTGTCATCCCATTAAAAAAAAAAAAAAAGTCAAACAACTTGTATGTAAACATGGGCACGTTTCCTCTAACATTGGATGGACATCCTGCCTAGGTGCGAAAAAACAGGAACATGGAACATGACATCCACAAACTAAAACATGGATAGGATATCTTGCAAGAAACATGGACACGATGTCCTACAAAGAATATGTATATGACATCTGATTTGAGCCAGAAAAACATGGGATCATAATCCATATCATGGTGGGAGATCTAGGATGACAAAGGTTATTGATGAGAGTAGAACCTAACAGCCTTAGTGGCTTAGGACTTGAGTTGGGCTTTATTGATGACCAACCTATCTTGCTTGGTTCTTCACCTTAAAGTTCTAACTCCAAGCACAAAACTTAAGGCACAACCAAGGCACAAGTTACAAGTCAGAATGTGATATATACCAAGCCGTATTCCAAGCAATAGGTCATAATCATAAACATTTTTTAATCACATGAAAATCATAAATGTTTATTAAAGAATCATTAGGGTTATTTTCCTAATTTTTTATCAAAGTATTTGCTTAAACCCCAAATATGTTTTAATAAATTTGAAGCCATATAGTCATCTAGTAACACCATAAATGAGTTTCATGTAAAATTTCATATCATTTCAAGTTCGTTAAAGTCTTAGAAATACCACAAGATCATAAGTGTATTTTGGTCCCTTTCCTCCCCAATTTTGGTTTAGAATCTAAACTAGCTCTAATTACCTTGAAATCTTACATACTCCTTTATATCCTTATAAATATGCCCGATATAGATTCTTAAGTCATTTTGAAATATGCTACTACTCCTTGCTTGGGAAGGTATATTGAAAAAAGTGCAAATAATTACAAGTATAAGTGCAAGCATATACTATCTATTATGAACCAAGGCATCAGTCATGCAATATAAACTTCAAGGAACATGCGAAGAAAATGTTGTTCAAATTATCACAATATATTGCAATTCATGCCACATTAAAGAAGAATAAAGTTTCATTTATTATTAGATAGTTACAAATTTTGGGTGGACGATAATTCAGAGATATGGTGGTTTTTTTTAATGTATTTAAGGTTTATTTATATAGTAATTAATTTTGGCTATGAAGTATACATAGTAGTTAATTATGGTCATAAAATATGAAAGTTATAACTCGTAAATGCTTATGTAAGGTTAAGAGTTTTAATTTTAAGGCTATATAAAGCCATGTATGTTGTTTTTGTAAATGAGACTTGAAAAAGATAGTAACAAGGCCAAGTGCTAAATTTCGTTACAATTCTATTTAGTTTAGATTACATGTTTAGAATTATTCAGGCTTGATATGTTCGACCTTACCTGTGGAGTCATTCAAATCTCAAACAAGTTCTCTTGCCTTGATATATTCGATGAACAAGGTAATATGAATCTTACTTCACTTGTAGTGATTCCTTATCAGTTTTTAGCAGAGTTTTCCCTTGGGTTAATTCCTAATCGCTATTACAAGTACGAAGTAATAAAAAATTATCAATTCCTAGAAAAGAGTGTGAATGGTTACTTATATGGATGACGTGTGTCTTCCAAAGCTCGTTTTCTAGTGACTTAGTGCTCCAAAATTCTTGAAATTACTCTCATGGGACCTTATTCAAGTTTAATTAGGATCAATATCAAAATTGTGGTGAAAATAGTCAAACGGAGGTCGGGTGAAAAAGGAGACTCACACGCGCTGAAAAGTGCCTACACGTGCACAAGTGGAGTCTTTCACTCATATTCACAAGCGCGTGTCACACACATTGTAGGGTTCATACTCATCTGATTTTTTAGGTGGGTCGGGTCGGGTCATGGATTGGGTTTCCATTTTTCTCATTGGGTCCGGATAGAGACCAAAGATCCCCCTTCGAATCTTCCCTTGCCAGATGAGAGTTCCGACCACCACGCTGCATACTTCAAATCTCTATTCTTTTGCGACTAGTCGGCGGCCGACACATGTCGCTTCCTCAAGTACACACGCCTACCATCGAGCCAAAGCCAACGTGTCTATGTAAATATTTTTTAATGAATTACTTTCTAAAACTTATTATTCATCCGAATTTCATGTTTATCCTAAATTCTTCAGATTATTGTATCTTTTTTAATGTATCTCAATTCAAATTTTTTTCTTACCAAAGTTGAAAAGTTCTGATCCAAATTTCTTTTTAAACTAACCTCATAGAGATTCATAAACCATGGAAGGAAATATTCATGTTCAAAGTTGGCTAGAACCTCATTTCTTACCCTTCTTGAGGTTAAACTTTGAGATCGAACTACTAATGAGTTTGGCCTCAAGATTCGTTCACAAAAGATGTGAAAAATCTTCTCTACAACAATTTGGTTAAATTTGAGAACCTACATAGATAGAAATCTCATGTATATAGAGAAAAATAGTGCCTAAAATTTAAAATTTTTAGCTCTCTTTCTTTCTCGATTTTTGATGGTTTTGGATAATCAAAGCGTCTAGAATGCTTCTCCTATCACTTATAAACAATTTTACGAAGAGACCTTGGTCAGAAACGACACCAAACGACCAAAATGAAGGTGAAACGATTTTCTCCATCTTTCATCACTTTCAAACCTATCTGTCCTTTCTTTCTTTCATTTTTCTTTTCTTTTTATTTTTCCCCAATCTATTTTCTTATGATTAAATAAGACCTATTAATTAGTAAGGGAGTGCATTCATCTTTATGGGTTGACTTCACTCTTTTTCTAATTTTTGGCCGGTTTCTTTTATATTTATCTTAGGTTGTCAAGAGTTCTCTAAGTATTTTTCAACGCAACTTAAAATTTAGTTTCTTAGCAACTTTCGACCCTAAAAGTTTTTCATTTCTAGAACAACTCGAGGTAGAATTTCCTGACGTCCTCTACATATTTCCAAGTCGCCTCGTTATTCCCATAGTTCCTGAACCAAGGGAATCACTTTGTTGTACAACTACTTCACGTCACAAGCCAATATCCTAACATACTTCTCTTCATAAGACAGATCCTCTTTAAGAGGGAGTGCCACACATATAGGTTTTGGGTTGTACTTCCATAGCAATAAGACATGAAACACTTTATGCACCGTGTCATGGCTGTACAATTTCAACCATGATCTTGACATGCTCATGACAAGCCTTAAGAGAAACTCAATTCCCCTTCACATTTTTAGCTCGACTTTGTGGCTTTCTTGGACCTTGAGTGAAGTTTTCCTTCGCAAATGAAACACAACTCATGCAAAATCTAAGCTTGTTTAGTCATATATGTTGCCCATATGTGCATGTTTAATTGTTTGCGAGCTTAATCGACTTGCCTCTACA